CACTATCAGAGACGGACTGTCTCTAGAGTTCCTCACACTCCCCCCTCGGTGCTTCATCTCCTGCCCCCTATCCAGAAATCCCGTGAAACAAGGTCTCATGGAGGAGGCCATTTGTCATCTGTTAAGCATAGAGGCAATAGAGCGGGTACCCCCAGATCAATGGGGACTGGGTTTCTACTCCATCCTGTTCGTGGTACCAAAACCCTCAGGAGGATGGAGGGCGATCCTAGACCTCAAGGCTCTAAATCGGTACCTAATTTACCAAAAATTCAAGATGCAAACTCTTCATTCTATTCTGGGCAGTATTCGGCCAGGGGATTTTCTTACATCCATAGATCTGACAGAAGCTTACCTGCACATTCCCATACATCCAAATCACAGGCGTTTCCTCAGATTCAGGTATTCCAACCATCACTATCAGTACAGGGCCCTGCCATTCGGCCTATCATCAGCTCCAAGGGTTTTCACCAAAATCCTGACGGTTCTCGCCGCACAGCTCAGGTTGGTACCAGTCCGCGTTCAGTGCTACTTGGACGATATCCTAATCCAGTCGTCCTCGGCACTGAACGCCCGTTCAGACATGGCACTGACGATCAAGACACTCCAGGATCATGGATTTATGATCAACTTCCCAAAGAGCCATCTGATCCCAACAAACCGTTTGCTCCACCTAGGCGCAATAATAGACACCAGCCAGTGCCGAGTTTTCCTGTCTCAGGAGCGTCAGCTCAGCATACGTACGATGGTCACCAGGGTGCGCAAGGAGAAACATGTAACCCTGCTCCTGCTGTCACAGCTGTTAGGGAAACTGATCTCATGTATTGCCATAGTGCCTTGGGCCAGGCTTCATATGAGACAACTACAGTGGTTTCTACTCCCTTACCAGAAACGGGGTGTAGCATGTTTTCCACAGAGGGTGCGAGTCCCACCACAGACACTCACGTCCCTCATCTGGTGGTTGTCCCCAGCACTGTCCAAAGGAACCCTGTTCAGAGAACCGACTCGGGTAATCTTGACCACAGACGCCAGTCTGTTTGGATGGGGGGCACATCTGCAATCCCAATTCGCCCAGGGACGGTGGTTCCAACAGGATCTCAAGAAAAATATCAATTGGTTAGAGCTCAGAGCCATACACCTAGCACTTCGCCATTTCCACAAGAAGTTGGCGGGCCGCCACGTGCTGGTTCTGACAGACAACGTGGCGGCAAAGGCCCATGTCAACAGGCAGGGCGGCACTTGATTGCGGATTCTAATGTCCGAGGCCCAGTGTCTGGGGTCATGGGCGGAACAGAATCTGTTGTCCCTAAAGGCGGAACACATTTCAGGGGTGGAAAATGACCAGGCAGATTTTCTGAGTCGATCTACGATAGATCATTCAGAATGGCGTCTACATCCCCATCTCTTTCGGGAGATAACTCACCGTTTCGGTCGGCCCAAAGTCGACCTGTTTGCATCCCCAAAGAACACCCAGCTTCCCCGGTTTCTATCTCGGTACCCATCCCAGGGTTCGGTAGTAGCAGATGCCCTCCGCAGCCCTTGGCCGGCGGGCCTTCTATATGCATTTCCACCCCTTCCCTTGATCCCGGCCGTCATCAGGAAGCTGTTAGAGGAACAGGCGGAGCTAATCCTTGTGGCCCCATATTGGCCGAGGCGTCCATGGTTCGCGGATCTCGTGAACCTCACCGTAGCCCCCCCCTTGGCAAATCCCTCCAGAGAGGATAATTCTAACACAGGGGGCCATATGCCATCCGGACCCACAGTGGCTACAATTAGCCGTCTGGCATCTGAGCGCCAGTTCCTGATGTGCGGATCTTACTCTTCAAGGGTGATAGCTATGATCCAAGCTTCCAGACGGCCGGCGATGAACCGAATCTGTGATGCCACTTGGAAGAACTTCTGTGACTAGTGTACCTGTAAGGGTTTGTCTATCTCTTCTGTCACTATTCCAGTGATTCTTGAATACCTCATGGATGGAGTGGATAAAGGCTTAGTGCCCAACATCTTGCGTAGACAGGTGGCCGGTCTTTCCACGGTGTTCACCTGTGCCAATGCCACTCCATTGTCCCATCATCCCAGGGTCCGATCCTTTATGAAAGGAGTCTCCAACGCCAGACCTCCGGTAGTAGACAGGTATCCATCTTGGGAACTACCTCGTGTTCTGCAGGCACTCACTAGGTCTCCCTTTGAACCTATAGGGTCTTGTCCTCTTCACATTTTGTCCCACAAGGTGGTTTTCCTAGTAGCCATCACGTCGGCGAGATGCGTGTCAGAGCTGGCTGCTCTTTCAGTTAGGGAAGACCTGTGTACCTTCTATCAGGACAGAGTGGTGCTGAGGTTAGATCCCTCATTCATTCCCAAGGTGAATACCCTGTTTCACTGGGCTCAGGACATTGTACTACCAAACTTTTGTCCCAATCCTTCTCACACACTAGAAAAGCAGTGGCATTACCTAGATGTACGTAGGGCATTACGTCATTACATTAAGAGGACAGCTTCCTTTCGCAAATCGGAGGCATTGTTTGTCTCTTTCCACTCAACTTCCAAGGGACAGAAGGTTTCCTCCTCTACTATAGCCAGGTGGATCAAGGCCTGTATCGCTCAATCTTACCAGGCTTCCTCTTTACCTGTCCCAAGCCGCCTGACAGCGCACTCTACTCGTAGCGCTTCCACATCGGTGGCGTGGCAGACTCAGGCGTCCATAGAGGACATCTGTAAGGCGGCTACGTGGTCGTCCCCTTCACCATTCATTCACCACTACAAACTTGACAAGTTTGCTTCCGCGGAGGCCGCTTTTGGCCGTCGGGTTTTACAACAAGTGGTCCACTTCAGCGCCGACACTTAACCAACCTGCTTCCCACCCGTGGGATCATAGGGGCTTTGGTATGTCCCATTCTTGGAGTCTACATTCCTCTACATGCTGGAGAAGGGGCGTTGTCTTACCTGAACGCCTTTTCTCAGCATGAGGAATGTAGACTCCACCCCCTCCCTGATCATTACTAGCAGCTAAGTTAGTGTCAGCAGTTCGGAGCCATCACGTCACACAATCATTTGCTTCGCCCTTTCGAAACTGGGGCATGGTCAGACCCTGCAGAGGCATGACAACTTTGATTGTTTGGTCTGATTGGGCTAGAAGACTAAATCAACCATCCTTGGAGTCTACATTCCTCATGCTGAGAAAAGGTGTTCAGGTAAGACAACGCCCCTTCTGCAGCTGCACCTCCCTATTCCTCTTGCCTTGCCTGAACATTCAGCCTTTGTGCATGCCCCTTACCTGTCCTGCTCCCTTGCACCTGGGGGTAGCCAGAGCAAGCAACATCAACAACACACCATTTCCACTGACTTTGAAGTCATTGCCCTGCTCTGCCAAAAATCTTGGCCACTCTTTGGAGAAGAGCCATAGGAGACAGCCTTCACTTCTCACCTGCTTGAGGACACACCATGCTCTGTTACCAGTCAGCTGCCCCTCCCTCCGCATTTTCCCAACTTCCAACACGCCTTGCAGTGGGAATGTACATTAGCCTGCAATACTGCATTCTAACAACTGCAGTATATCATCTGGTGAGATCAAGCTGGTGCACCTTTTCCATAGCAGTTCCGCCATTGTGAAAGAGGTTCACATTGTCTGTCTGTCCATCCAGCCATTCCTCAAATTTGTATAACTTCCCACATAGTGACTCTGGGCAGTGTACATAGTAATAATCAAGTAAAAAACCATTAAAACAATCCATTTAAAATAAAAACTAGTAAAAATGGCAGTAAAACATGTAGAGAATCAATCTATTAACTGTCATATAGCCATTAACAGGTTGCACTTTACCATGATCCCCAAGCTAGTTGACAAAGTCTTGTTTTAAAGGCCTTCCAGAAAACCAATAGAGCTGGGGACAACCTCACTTCAAGGTGAGTGATGTTCCACAGAGTGGGACTGACTGCAGAAAAGGCTTTCTTCCTAGGTCCTGCTGAACAACATTGCCTAACTGCCAGAGCCCACAACATGCCTTTCCTGGCAGACCTCAAATATCCCAGTCCCATGCCATACAGGGTTTTAAAGATTATAACCAATATTTGATTTGGACCTGGAAGCAAACTGGAAACTAATGCAACTTGCACAGCAGAGATATAATGTGTGCAATTTGGAGCACACATAACTGCCTTCTGCCGCTGCATTTTGCACCAACTGAAGTTTCTGTAAACTCTTCAAGATCAGCTCTATGTAGAGAACATTACAGTAATCCATTTAGGAGGTGACTACAGTATGAAGTAGCATTATCTTCTTTCTTGTGATCAGAGCTAGACTTTTGCAATACAGCTAATTTAATGTTATTGCTGACAAATGTTATTGGAATTAAGACTGAGATTAATTATACTTAAAGAAACAGCTGGATTACCAACTAAAAACATTTTTAAATGTACCTCTACTTAAGTTATTGCTTTTTCACATTGGTATTCTTAAGGCAATACTTTTGTAATACAGAATACAATAGTACAAAATAATGTAACCCCCCCCCAAAAAAAAACAGTTTAAAGAAACCTAAAATCACCAATCCAGTGTACTAGGCTTGCTGTACTTACCTCTTTGTCATCCAAACTGGATTTTATGTTTATTCACTGCAAAGTAAAGGCTCCAATACAATTCAGCTTGGAACTAGACTAAGTATCTCTCCTTTCCTAAAGCCATTTTTTACCTGCTTTTGCGGCAAGCAAGCAGTTACAGGCTTCAACTTAGTTTTTTCCCCTTTTCCCTTTCCCTAATTTAGATTTGAGATGGAATGTTTCACAGCTCCTCTGACTTAATAGTATTCTAGTACTGACAGACTCTGTTGTATGGCTTATTATTGGTGACATTTTTCTTCAAGTACTGGCACTTTCTTTCTTGCATGTTTGTTATCTTCTCTTGACTTAGAGCATTGCTAACATATAAGCTATCTTTGGCGGGTGGGGAATGACATGCAATATACATGTTTAGTAAAAAAAAAATTCTTTCTCTTTGTTCCTTTCAGTGCACAACAAAGGAGCACCCAAGCAAATAAGAAAAGAGCAATCCCAAACCAGGTACTGATTCATGTTAGGTACTGACTCATGTTTCCTTTCAGCAGATTGTAACTACACACACAGTGCAATCTGTTGAGCACATTAATATGTGTAGTTGCAGAAAATTGAATAGGCTTGTGAGTATAGTACTGCATAATGTAGGAGATAATATTCTTTCCGTATATCATCTGAAAATGATATGGAAGCAGTTCCAATTACAAAATGTACAGAATCTCCAGCACGTTTTTTTGCTGTATGTGCTGATTTAAACTGAAGCTGTTTCTGCAAAGTGCATTTCCAAGTTCTTTGAGAAAACAATCAGAAAACAATGCTAGTTATAAAGAAAAAAAATTAGAAAAAATAAATAATGCAACCATAATATTCCTTTGAGAATTTGTCAGTCTTGAGATACTTGCATTTTTGATAGCCAGGAATTAGGCACAAAATTGGCAATTTAACTTGTTGCATAATGGTTAGTTGATATACAGTATAGAGGACCAATATATATTGATTCTTGTTTGGAAAGAGTGTAATGAAACATTAACACTGTACAATTATAATTAATAGCATGTAACTTTTTTTTTCTTTTACTATTTTTTTTCTACTTTTCCTTTATTTTCCTACCATTTTTATGTTTCTGCTTCTCCTTTCCCCTCCTACTCAATTTATTTGATTTTTTTCACTGTTTTGTCCCCTCATTCTGCTTTTCCTTATTTTGACTGCACAACTAATTTTGCCAACCTCTAAAGGGTGAGATACTGGTAAGTACCTGTATAATATGCTAGTGACTGATACTTAAAACTTGGTGATGGAGATTTTCTTTCATAACAAAAATCCCAAAATAGGCCATCTTGCTGCTACAAACATTGTGCACTTAATTGTACAGAAAAGCAAGTCTCTCCAAAAAGTGTTCCAGGAGATCCAGACATGGGAACTACAGAATAGCTTTAAGCCTAGCTCCTAGTACTAAATTTGTGTGGTTATCAATTTGGCAATGAATGTTGCTCTTCATAGACTTTCTCTCTATGATGCTCAAGGGCAAACTAGTTTTCTCTGAAATTGTATAGGTCCCTTCCAACTGTTGTTCTCCCTTCTCCTCTCCTCTCCTCTCCTCTCCTCTACCCTTCCCTGTAGGAAAGTATGCTTATGGAAAAATCCCTCTTTCTGCATGTTTTTGATCTTTATCTTCTTCTGGTGAGTGCTGTTGGTGTGATGGAATGTCAACACCTATGCTGTCCACCTCACCAATGCTTTACCAAATAAAGTTTTAAGTCTCAGTTCCTAAGTGTCCCTAATTTTTAATTTAAGTTGAAAAAGTAGTTCCGGGTGGAAGCTAAGTGTGTTGGTGAAACTTGATTGGTACTTGCAATGTTACTAATTCTGTTAGATGGAATTTCTCTTATGACATTCCTAGTTGCAGCTTAAATTTACCTTTTTGAAAATATCTCAGAATCTTTGTTGTACTTAGAATATAATAACATTATTAAGTTGCTGTTTGAAGTCTTAACTTCAGGCAAACACAGGGAATGGTTTAAGGAGCAGTGCAAATGGATGAAGAAAATAACAAGTACAATAACTGAGTAATATTGCATCCTAAGGCTTAAACTGATGAACTGAATTGATAAGATCATTTAGCTGATCTTTGGGAAATGGATTGCATAAGGCCTTTTTGTAAAAGGAGATCTGATTCCCTCAATCTTCTAGTCACAAGGCACTTGAACATTCTCTACACTTGCTTGCCTGTCATCCTCTGCTCACTTACCATTTGAAAAAACAGCTTCAAATGGTCCAGGTGGGTGTCCTGATCAGAAGTATTGTTTCTATATCTCCCCTGTTTCTGAAATAATGTCATTTCATATTTAATGAATGCATATGTTTGCTTACAGTGATGATGGGCTCACAAGCATGTTGCAAATGCTGTCCAGAAATGGAGTCCCCCTTTAGATGTAAATTTAACTGTGAAAATTTAATGGGTTAGCTTAGATATTTCATGAGATATGATGAATTTTCTGAACTCTTTTGAATTCTCAATATTTCTGTATAAATATGACCTAAAACATGATCTGTTCTTCAACAGGTTCTAAAACTAAATAAAGAGAACCTTATTAAATAAATGAGTCAAAAACAGAGTAAGAGAATAGAATAACAAAGATGGAAGAGACCTTGGAGGTCTTCTAGTCCAACTCGCTGCTCAAGCAGGAAACTCTATATCATTTCAGATAAGTGGCTATCCAGTCTCTTTAAATGCCTCCATTGATGGAGTATCCACAACTTCTGAAGGCAAGCTGTTCCACTGGTTTAGTATTCTCACTGTCAAGAAATACTGTATACTTGGATTTCAGTAGACATTTGACAAACTAGACCACAACAAACATGAGGGAATTCCACACTGGATGTGGCTACTGGATTGATGGCAGACTCTAACTCCCCCCAGCTTGCTCTCTAGTCTCCACTCATCCATCTTTTTGGTTATCATATTGATGTAGTCACATGGTGTTCTTTTTCATTGTTTATTTTATTGTTTTATTATTTTATTTCTGTTTTGTTTACATTCTTTTCATTTCTTTTTATTGTTGTAAGCTATGTAGAGTAGCCCCATGGTGAGATAGGTGGCAAATAAATTTAGCAAAACTGGACCTTAAGGTACCCCAATGCATGCTTCCTTCCATGTAAATGTTGTTCCATTGGGGACTATTTATGAGTGCAGTCGGTCAGCAAACTGTGAATCCATCTAGTGGTAGTACTGTCTATCCCACATTGTCTTAGGCCCAGTACTCTTTACAAATTATCTAGATGAGTGGATAGAATGGTAACTCATCAAATTTGCAGATGACACCAAGCTGGGAGAACAACCAGCAATTTAGAAGAAAAGCTCAAGATCCTGAAGGATCTTGATAGGCTTGAACACTGAGCCCTAACCAACAAAATGCAATTTAGTGGTGAGAAAACTAAGGTTTTACATTTAGGCAAGAAAAAGCAAATGCATAGGTATAGAATAGGTGGCTCAACAATGGTAGTTATGAGAGGGACAACCACGTAAATATGAACCAGCAATGTGCTGCAGCTGCCAAAAAAAAAGCCAGTGCAGTCCTAGGGTGTGTCAACAGGGGGTATTATCATGGTCCCATGAATTGTTAGTACCACTTTTGGTAAAATCACGCTTTAAATACTATGTCTAATTTTGATCACCTCAATACAAAAAAGATATTAAAACCCTGGAAAGTGTACAGAGAAGAGCAGCAAAGATAATAAAGAAGACTAAATAATATGACAAACGGTTGAGAGAGCTAGATATGTCTAGCTTTCAAAGAGAAGAATTAGAGCAGGGGTATCAAACTGCCGGCCCACAGGCCAGACGTGTCATGAGGAAACCGTGCCCACCCCATTGTGGGCAATGGGGAAAAAGTTCCGCTACGTCGTGCAATGTCACGTGATGTCGCAAGTTTGACATGTCTGGATTAGAGGGAACATGATAACTGTCTTCCAATACTTGATGGGCTATCACAAAGAAGAAGGGGTTGTCTTATTCTCTAGGGGGCACCAGAGGGCAGGACAAGAAGTAATGGCTGAAAATTTGTCCAAGAGAGATACAACCTAGAAGGAAAATTTTTCTGACAATGAGAGCATGATGAACTCCAATGTTAACTTTATTAGGCAAAAAAACAATCTGGCAAGTTTGAAGTAAAGCTAAAGCTATGGCAAGAAACAGATAATTAAAAGAATAAAATTTCCCCTCTCCTCTCTGCAGGCTTTGCAGCTTGATACCATGGTAGTTCAGTGTTCTCCCAACACAGGTCTCTTGAACACTGACATTCTCTGGTACAAAAGAGGCCTTTAGTTATTTAAAAGTAACCTGGACTTCTTTAAGGCCTTCAAAAACATAAATGTTTTGCTTTTGGTGATCTTGATTGGTCAGCCACTCCTGGGGAGGGTAACATGGATGTTAAATTGCATACTGTAGACTGGCGGAGTCAAAACTCTTTGGCAATAGTTTGAACATTTTCCAGCCTGGTGAGCATAAACAACTTTTATAGAGATCCACAGAAATCTTTTCTGTTACATGATGTATTCTCACATACCTACAGTATATGGTGAAAATCAGATAATACCCAGAATGCTGTTCTTTAAATAAGGCAGGACCTCCCACACCCACACCTGATTATTATTCCATTGATTGAAATATCTGACTCTAATTTCCCCTTCCAGTGACCTGATAAATCATCTTGAATGCATTTGAGTCAGTATAAAGGGGGGGGGGGAATGACATTGCTATACAGTATACTACAGACCACCCAACCAAACAGAAGAAATAGATGAACCTTTTCTCCCAAAAGGTAGAGAAGGGAACCAGAGGGTCTGCCATACTGGACTTAATTCTCACTAACAGAGATGAAATGTTGAACTGATTTCAATAAACTTAGAACTTGAGAAGGATTCCTTGGATGAGAATTCTCAAGGGGAAAACAACCCAAGAAGCTTGGGAAACTTTGAAAAGTGCAATTATAAAAGCCCAGTCTAGCACAAGTCCAATGAGGAAGAAAAATAAGAGATGTCAAAAGAAACCAGCATGGCTGCACAAAAACTCTCTGATAAATTGAAAGACAGAAAGGAAAAGTATAAAAAGTGGAAAGAGGGGCACATAACTAAGGCAGAATATTAGCAAATAGCCCGAATCTGCAAAGATGAAGTCATGAAAGCTAAGTCCCAAAATGAACTAAGGCTTACTATAAAAGTCAAAAATAACAACAAAAAAATCTTCTTTCAACATGTAAAAACAAGAAAAAAAGTCAAGGAAGTGATTGGTCCATTAACAGGAGAAAAAGGAAAGAAGGTGACAAGCAGCAGGTTGAAAGCAGAACTACTTAACTCGTTTTTTTGCATCTGTCTTTACACAAAAGGAAAAAACAGACCAATCTATCAAAAAATGCTATAAAGTACAAATTAGGAATTCAAGTCAAAATAAGGAAAAAAAATAGTAAGAGAACACCTATCCACTCTAGACGAGTTCAAATCATTAGGACCAGATGGATTACATCCCAAAGTTCTGAAGGGATTGACTGATGAGATCTTAGAACCACTGAAGCATACTTTTCAAAAATCCTGGAGCACCAGAGAGCTACCAGAGGACTGGAAAAGGGCTGTTGTAGTTCCCATCTACAAAAAAGGAAAAAAATGGATCCAGGAAACTACAGACCTATCAGTCTAACATCAATACCTGGAAAGATTCTGGAAAAGATAAACAACAAATATGCAAACACCTAGAGGCAAAGTCATAAGCAGAAGCCAACATAGATTTGTCAAAAACAGATCATGCCAGATAAATCTTATTTCATTCCTTGACAAAGAGACAAAATTAGTGGAGCAGCGAAATGCTGTGGATATAACTTACTTGGACATCAGTAAAGCATTTGATAAAGTTGGCCACAACCTACTACTTGATAAGATAGAAAAATAAGAGTTAGACAGCATCACAACCAGATGGATTTGTAAGGACCTACCTCAATTAGATCTCAACCGGTCTGGCTTCTTGGCTGGAGCTTTGCTGCAGCATGATGGCCTTCCTTGCCATACCTGAAGCAGGTGGTTGACCGTGGCTGGCTTATGGAGGGTTTACTTGCTTCTCCTCTTCTCTCGGGTTGGATTTGCTTCCTGGGTTTCCTGGAACGGTACTGGTCTGGTCAATCTCCACTTCTTTGGCTAAGATGCACCAGTCATATAAGCGCACCGGTGATCCGTGTACAGGTCATCATTTAGCCCGTCC